GAGTCAAATATTTAAGGGATTCAGCTGATATACTCTATAATTTACGTAAAAGAATAAAAGCCCATGAAACACTATTTTAACTTTGAAAAAGAAAGTAACATGGGGCCAGTGTTGTGGCATAGCAAAGCCACTGCTTGTGATGCTGGCATCCCCTGTAGGCACCAGTTTGAGACCCGGCTGCTCCACTTCAAATCCGGCTCCCTATGAATGTGCCCGGGAAAGCAGTGGAAGATGGCCCAATTGCCTGGACCCATGCACCCACGTTGGAGACCCAGGAAAAGCTCCAGGTCCGGGCTTCAGCCGGGCACAACCACAGCCATTTTGGCCATTTGGGGAGTGAACCATGGGATCGAAGATCGATCGATCAACTGATCTCTCTCTCTCTCTGTAACTCTGCCTTTCAAACAAATAAATAAATCTTTTTTAAAAAAGAAAAACTAATAAGAGGAACTTATCCCTAACAGATGTCAAGACACATCACAAAACCAGGGAGATAAAATGATGTGGACCAGCTGTAGGAAGCATTAAGCCCAACAAGTCAGTATGTGTGGCCTGTAATGCACCAGCAGGGGGCACTGCACACCAGTGAGGAAGGGAGGGCTCTGTAAATGGGTGGTATGGTAAAAACTAACTTAATATATGGAGGGTGAAAAAAACCAACACCTAGAATTCTATCTAATACCGAAAACATAGGCAGACTCCAAGGGGTAAATTATGGCCTGAATATCAGGTGTGTGTTTTGTAAATAAAATTTTATTGGAACAAGCCATGCTCTTTTTTTTCCATGTGTCTGTGACTGCTTTCATACTACAAGAGCAGAGCTGAATCACTGGCCCTTGAAGTAAATGTCTGCTGACCCCAGCTATAGATGAATTAAAGACCTGAATGCAAAGGCAAAACTATAAAACTCAGTCAGGGACACCTATCAGGATTATTTTGACCTTGGTCTGAGGGAGAACTTCTAAAAAACAAACAAAAAACACCTCTTTACCCTAATTACACTGAATAAGGATTTCTACTGAATCCTTATACATCATGCATGAAGATAAGTAACCAAAAACAATTGAGACAACTATATGTGAAGTCCTAAGCCAACAAGAGCCAGTATCTCTAAGAAACATCTGTAATTTAGTAAGAAAGAAACAGAACACCAAAGAGAAAGCACAGAATGTAAACAAAGGACTGCAGAAAGGAAACCTAAATACATGGTATATGCAGGGATAAATGCTCAAGTGCACAGGTAGGCAGAGAAATGCAAATTAAACCAGCAATGAGATGTCATTTTACACCTTTTAGATTGGCTAAAATTAGGAATTAGAGAGAAACCCTATTTCTCCCCATTCTGATATTAATTATCAATACTAACCAATGAAAATTCATTCTACTTTGGAAATACAACCGAAGAAATAACAAAATTTAATATATATATGTGTGTGTGTGTGTGTGTGTGTAATAGATATATATCTGAATTCTGTCACCATCTTACTGAACATGGACATTCAGCAATGGTTTGCTTAACTGAATATACAGCCGTGAATATGCCAGCACTTACAACCTAAGGAACTAAATTTGGCTAAACATTCATATTGTGTAGTTTTCTTAATTCAACTGTTTACAGGCCAGAAATTCAACCAGAAGAAATTTAAATGTTTTACCGCTGATCTGGACACAAATGTTTACTTGAAATTATGTTGGACTTGTATTTTCAAGGATTTTAAAATGTAAGACTGCAATTTTTACACTCACTGGTTTATCTTATTCTTGGCTGAATTAAAAGTGTTACATATACATACATACCATCAGATAAGAGAACAATATTTCCCTTGCTCCCTCTGGAGCTGTACAACAATGGGTACCCATGAGTGCACATGTAGACATAGAATTTAGAACTGCTAAGCCACTGCTCCTCTCTCCTCCTCCACTCACGGCTCCATGGTGATGGCAGTGACTCACATCAAAAACACTGGGAGCCCCCAGCAAGTTTCTATACATTAGCTCAGTCAATAGTAACTAATTCTATTTTTTTAGTCTCTTGCCATACTTCTTACATTGATTCCTTTCCTCCCAACTCACAGCCCTTGCTCTAGCTCAGATCCTGGTTTCAAGCATCAATTACAGTTAATGTCTCTTAATTCCTCTTTATCTTCCTTTATACTTTATTATTATTTATTATTTTCCCTCCCCCACCTTTTTCCTTCCTGCCTGCCTTCCTTCTCTTTCTCTCACTCCATCCATCTATCCAGTCAGTATTCTCTGGGCATGTAGTATGCTCCAGGAATTGCTTGACATTTGGGGTTTCACGGTGATGAAGACAAATAATGCCCCCACTTTCAATTTTCTCTCAGTCCTTTACATAAACTCTATACTCAGCTTTAAAATAAATGTTCCCATGGAACTACTTTGTCCCCTCCTAATCTCTTTAGTCAAAGAGATCCAGTTCTTCATGGTCCACAGGATAAAATTCCAAACTTTCCAGGAGGCTGCCTAAGACCCTCTAAGATCTCCATTCTCTTCCTAGCAGATTCTCCTACTATCACATGATGCGAATCTTGTGCTTCAGCTAAACAAGAATCCTCATTTAAAACCCTATGTCATAAATAAGAGTGTCAATTGTTAAATTTACAACAGAAGTCACAGTGCACTTACTTCCCATGTAGGACCTCTGTCCTTAATGAGTTGTACTATGAGAATTAACTGCAAAACTTGTTCTCAAACAGCACTTTTTATGTTTTTTTTGGGGGGGGGCAAATTGTTGAAATCTTTACATAGTATAGAGTTGATATTCTGTATATAAAGATAATTAAAAATGAATCTTAATGAAGAATGGGATGGGAGAGGGAGTAGGTGGGAGTAGGGGTGGGAGAGTGGGTATAGGGGGAAGAAATGCTATATTCCTAAAGCTGTACCTATGAAATCTGCACTCATTAAATAAAAGTTTTAAAAAAAGAAACTGTGGGGAGCAACTCGGACTAGACTAAGTTACTGGAATTAAGACTTATTCTATGCATCTGCTCTCCCACAATATGGCGCTGAGAAGGGAGTAACAACTTCTACGCAGCTGCCTCTCGCCAATTTGATTGACTGAGCTGCAGGAGCTGATCTTGCTCCTGATTGGAGGAGAGCAGCGTACTCGGCGTGTGGGTAGCAGAGTTGAGATTGGTGGAAGAGGACTATAAAGGAGGAGAGAGACAACATGCACCAGGAACATCTATCTGAAGGAACACCTGTGCAGCCCCCAAGAGAGCCGGCCGGCGGTGTGCCGCTCCCCCGCGTAAGTGGGGAAAGTGGCAGGGGGAACCGCCCTTCCATGGAGTTGGAAGGGACGGTAGCCAACCCAGGAAGAACCAGCAGCAAACCTGGGGAGGGCCGAGCAGACAGAAGAACAGCGCAGGGTCCTGTGTCGTTCCTCCACGAAGAGGGGGAGCGACAAGAAACCCTGTCTACGGCAAAATGGATGAGGAGCTACATGAAAAAGCTGTAAGTGGGATGAACAAACAATAGCAACTATAAAAAGTTAAGGAAAAACCAAATGGCAAATGAACAAGGAGGATAAGACAATGGGAGCGCTCACTATCTCCCACTAGTGCCCTGTGATGCTTGTTTCAGTGCCAGAGGATGGGTCCAGACACACAGGACAGGGCTTTCCTCTGACAGCAAGGGGAGGCACTCTCTGGAGAGGGTGAGGAAGGAGGCCTTTCAGTTGAAGAGCTGAGGCCCTCCAGAGCAAGAGTAGACCAAAAGGGAAGCAGTGCCTCACAGGCAGCCCGGAACAGCCAGTGCTGGCACAGGTGTAGGCCGGAAGTGAACAGCAGCTTGAGTCTTTCTTCACTGGTGGGGACAGAATCCACAGCAGCAAGGAGAAGCAGCGGGGTCAGGTGCAAGCATCTCAGAGCAGCAGCCAGGGCCTCCCCAGTCTCAACAGAAGGCCTCGAAGTTCAGCTCCACTAACAGCAACAGAAACCACCACTGATGCTGTGACGCTAAGGCTGAAGCTGGTGCCTGAGAGCACTGTTTAGAGGAGGAGGTCAGAGCGAAGAACCAGAGAAGCTGTGTGACAAGTGTGAGGCAGCCCAGCAGAAATCTTGTGTGCTACAAGGTTATCTAGGGCATCTGGAGGAGATGCGTCATAACAGCTCGGGTGGAAGGAGCCTGTGTTGTGGCGCAATAGATGAAGCCACTCTTGCAATGTCGGCATCTCATATCAGAGCTCAGGTTTGAGCCCTGGCTGATTCATTTCTGATTCTAACTAATGTGCCTGGGAAAGCTGTAGAAGATGGCCTAACACCTGGACCCTTGCCACCCACATGGAAGATCTGTTTCTGTCTCTCCCTCTGTCATTCCGCCTTTCAAATAAATCAAATAAATCTTTAAAAAAAAATAGCTGGAGTATAAAAAATGAAGTGCATATGTCATATAGGCACATGACACCAAGGATCTGAGGGCTCCATTGTCACTGTTTTTAAATGACAATTAACACTGTCATATTTTTATGCCTATCTTTTTCCCCAGAAATAATACCTGTAAGACAAATTTTCTCATTGAAATTATCCCCTGCCAATATTTACAAATTTTTCTATTTCTTACAAAATCCTGCATAATGAGTCTCTACCTAATAGAAGTACAATCACGGGCTATTCAGTGATTAACTCAACTTTACCTTCTAAGTGGAGTGAGTCAAGCACTGAAAACAAGGGGACTTCAACAAGTTCATGGAAAAAATGGAATTAAAAGTTAGCTTTCCTATAAAAAAAATCTGAAAACCATGCAAAGCTTTTCCATAATATACATTTCAGTGAACTGTTGGAAGACACCCTCATATGTGTAGACTTCAAATTTTTTTGTGGCAAACTAATCTTTTACTTCCACTTTCCATGAACTTTTTGAAGTTCCCTTGTATCCTATAAGAAAGTCTGCACTAATTTTACATTTACAATAAGAATAGAGTTACCAAAATGATATATATGTAAGTTATGTTCTTCAACAAAACCAAAGCAACTTACTAGTGATCATTGCGCCGGTGACAGAAGCCAGAAATCCAAGGCTGACGGCAATGACTGAGATCACCCTCCCCTGCCTGTGCCTCTGCAGCATCACAAACATCAGTACCCCCGCAGCACCATGGACGAACAGCGAGGAGAAGAGAGCCCAGAGGAAGATCCAGTACCACATCTCTGCAAGGAAGAGCACAGTGTTAGCCATTCCGCTGGGAGGCACCTTAGACCCTCAGTTCACAAGGAGGCAGCGCACCTGGTCTGGGGGAGGACAAACGAGATACTAAAGGGCCTGGTGCTATGGAGCAGAGGATTAAATCACCACTGCCATACCGGCTTCCCATATGCACACTGGTTCAAGTCCCGACTGCTCTACTTCCGATCCAGCTAATGTGCTAATGTGCCTAGGAAGGTAGAAGAAGGTGGCCCAAGTATTTGGGCCCCTTGTACCCATGCTGGAGACCGGGATGGGGTTCCTGGCTTCTGACTGAAGTCTGACCCAGCCCAGCTGTTGGATGGAAGATCTTTCATTCTCTGTCTTTACTGCTCTGTCACTAGCATCTACCACAGTACTGGACATAGTTGTGCTAGCTAAATTGTAACAAGTGTCAGCACCATGAACACCCGATGGGGAAAGAACTCCATGACTTTGGAAGGTTAAGACTGTACTCGGGCTGGCACTGTGGTGTAGTAGGTTAAGCCGCTGCCTGCAGTGCCGGCATCCCATATGGACACCAGTTCAAGACCCGGCTGCTCCACTTCCGATCCAGCTCTCTGCTGTGGCCTGAGAAAGCAGTGGAAGATGGCCCATGTCCTTGGGCCCCTGCACTCACGAGGGAGACCTGGAGGAGGCTCCTGGCTTCAGATCAGCACAACTCCGGCCATTGCAGTCAATTGGGGAGTGAACTAGCAGATGGAAGACCTCTCTCTCTCTTTGCCTCTCCTTCTCTCTCTGTGTAACTCTTTCAAATAAATAAATCTTAAAAAAAATGACTGCACTTTAATTTCTTCTAAATGCCTGCATCGTGTTGTCATTATCCATCTGTTTATCTCATTAAAACTCCCATGATGTATCTGCAAATCTCTTTGGATGAATTTCTTTCAAGATTTTATTTATTTATTTATTTAATTTGAGAGGTAGAGTTACAGAGGGAGAGATAGAGAAAAAGGTCTTCCATCTGCTGGTTCACTCCCCAAATGGCCACAACGGCTGGAGCTGGGCCAATCTGGAGCCAGGAGCTTCAGATCCCTGCAGCCAGGGTCCCACACAGGTGCTTTGCCCAAGCACTTGGGCCGCCTTCTACTGTTTTTCCAGTCCACTGCAGAGAGCTGGGTCAGAAAAAGAGCAGCCAGGACACAAATCGGTGCTGATATGGGATGCTGGCACCTCAGGTGTAGGCTTAGCCTACTATGCCACAGTGCTGGCCCTTTGGGATGAATTTTAAAAGTTAACTGTGGTTTGGTATCTAACTTTTTATTTTTACACTCAACAGTAGTATTGTTAATTTTGAAAAACTACTCTTTAATTCAAATCATTCTAGTCAATACTTTTATGACTTTCTTAAGAATTTCAAGCAACTGCACTGTTGCCCTCAACTTTATATATTAAAGAATCAGTCAGATTCCTTATTTATTTATTACTTCTTTGCTTCCTGGTCATTTTTACCAGAAACTTTTATTAAGTTTCATTTGATTTTTTTTGAAAGGCAGAATAACAGAGAGGAAGAGACAAAGAAAGATTTTCCATCCACTGGTTCACCCCCTAAATGACCGTAATGGCTGGGGCTGGGCCACGCCAAAGCCAGGAGCTTCATACATGTCTCCCACTTGGGCAGCAGAGGCCCAAGCACTTGGGCCATCTTCCATTGTCTTCCCAGGCACATTAGCAGGGAGTTGGATCCGAAGTGCCCATAAGGGATGTTGGTGTTGCAGGCGTTATTAACCCCTGAGCCGAAACGCCTGTCCCACCAGGAAATTTTCAAACGCCATTATTGTTTCTTCAATATATCCTCAACCAACCATTCACTACCATTTCAGTTTATAGACAGTGGGTGAGTGTACACTGCACTGTGTGTCTCTAGCACCTATTCTTCCTGCTGGACAGCCTGCTGCTTCCTGGTCCATCCACAAAGTTCCAGAACATGCTGTGACTATGTCCTTTCACGGACTCCATCCCCCTGACCAATAACTGTGCTGAGGTACAAAAGGGCAGGCAATGGAGCCAACCTGAGCAATCATTCCCGCTTGTGGGGAATTCTGGGTTGGGACTGAGCCTCCCATTTTTGAGTAGTGGATGCTTCAAGGCTCAAGATTTGTGAGCCATTTTGCCATCACATGATGAAAGTTGCAGTACAGGGAGAAAAGAAAAGTGGAACAGTCAGAGACAAAAGACAATCAGGTCCCTTATTCCAGATTCTTCTAAAGCCCTACCACATTTCTATCCTTAGATTCAATGTAATATCCCAAATCTCTTGTAGTGATATCCAATCCTCTCCCCCCCCCCTTTTTTTTTGACAGGCAGAGTTAGACAGTGAGAGAAAGACAGAGAGAAAGGTCTTCCTTTTCCATTGGTTCACCCCTTAAATGGCCGCTGCGTCCGGCACGCTGCCTGGTCTCCCATGTGGTTACAGGGCTCAAGCACTTGGGCCATCCTCCACCACCTTCCTGGGCCACAGCAGAGAGCTGGACTGGAAGAGGAGCAACCAGGACAGAATCTGGCGCCCCAACCGGGACTAGAACCCGGGGTGCCGGCACCGCAGGCAGAGGATTAGCCTAGTGAGCCACTGTGCCAGCCTCCCTCTTTTTACATAAACTAGTTCAGGTAGTTTCTATTATTTATAGCAAACTCCAAAATTTACAGCTGTCACCCTGGGGGTTACCCTTGTTACACAAAATGTAATCAAAGTACCTCATCTGCTAGTCGTGCTACATAGTCACTCTACATCAAGTGTAACTGAAAAGTCAATAGTCATGAAACAGAGACCACAAAAATTAACACATTAAAATCTATTTAGCTGAACATCATGAAAGTATGAATACACACTGTGAGTGGGAATTAAAAATGATGTGGCCGCTATGGATAATAGAAGGCAATTCCTTAAAACACTAAAAACAGAATTACTATATGATCCAGCAATTCCAATTCTGGGTATATACCCAAAAGAATTAAAAGCAGACTCTCAAAGAAATATTGACACACCCATAGTGTGTTATGCACAACAGCAAAGAGATGGAAGCAGTCCCAGTGTCCATCAATGCATGAAGTGGTAAACAAAATGCAGTAGAGATACAATGGAAAATTATTCCATTTCAAAAGGGAAGGAAATCCTGTCACGTGCTGCAACATGGATGAACCCTGAGGACATCATGCTGGGTGAAATAAGCCAGTTACAAAAGGATTAATACTGTATGAGTCCAGTTAGATGAGGCATCTAGATTAGCCAATACAGAGACAGACAGCAGAATGTTGGCTGCCAAGAGCTGGAGTGGGAGGGGAGGATGGGCAGTCGCTGGCTTTAATGGGTAGAGAGTTTCAGTTTTGCAAGATTAAAGAGATGGAGATTTGTTACGCAACAATACAAATGTACTTCACTTTACTGAACATACACTTCAAAACAGTAGATTTTGTTACATTTTGTAGTATGATAAATATATCTAGTGTTGGTCCCTGGCTCCTGACACAAGCTTCTAAAACTCCTGGAATTTCCAGACACACAGGAGAATCTTTTCAAATTTATTTTATGTGGATAAAACCGAGTTTATGCTAATGACATAACTTGGGATGGGACTGGACCAGAAGGTGAGTGATGGTAAGGTTGGTGGAGGGGGGCTGGAGGTCAACCTCTAGAAAAGCTCCCCAACTACTAAACGTGATTGAGCTTCCAGGCTACTGAATCTGCAGGTAGTGGGAGGAAGTGTACCAGAAAGCATGGAAGCCCCACTCCTCTCACCCCACCCCTGTGCCTTCCCAAATGCAACCATTTGGCTGTTTCTAAGTTGTGTCCTCTATAATAAACCAGTAAATATAAGTGTTACCATGAGTTCTGCAAGGCATTCTAGCAAATCATCAAACCTAAGGAGAGGGTCACTGAATCCCAGATTTACAGCCAGTCAGAAGTATGGGAAGGGTCAGGCATTGTGATGCCTGGCATTCCATTTCAGAGTGCCTGGGATAGAATCCTGGCTCTGCTTCCCAACAAGCTTCCTGCTAACACATCTGGGAACAGCAGATGACGGCCCTAGTATTTGTGTTCCTGTCACTCACACAGAAAACTGAAGTGGAGTCCTGGATCCTGGCTTCAGCCTGGCCCAGCCCTAGGTGTTGCAAGCATTTGGGGAGGAAACTAGCACATGAAAGATCTCTGTCTCTCCCTCTGTCACTGCCTTTCAAATAATTTTTTTTTTTTTTTTTTTTTTTTTTTTTTTTTTTTTTTTTTTTTTTATGTAGGGGAAGTTGTCTTTCATGTGGCAGTTGAAGTGAGGGACTCCCATCTGACATAATTCCAGGCAATCTGGGTGATGTTCTGGAGAACTGCTCGATGTGGGGAAAAATCCCAGTCAGGGTCATGGAAGTGCACCATATGAGATAGAGGAAACAAAGAGTGGCCCTCAGCAAATAGCACTTTTATGACAATTTAGAAAAATCAGTAAAAAGGTGTCAACTATAGATATTTAAAATAAGTCAGCATCACAAATCAAGTTTCAAAACAGAACAAAAATTCTCTTTGTAAAGGAAAGAGGGTATGGCCATGAAAGGACAACATGAGACACCTTTGTGGCAATGGAACGGCTGTGTTCACTGTGGTGGTGGATACGCATGTGAGTGATAAAGCTGTGTAGAACTGGATACACAGAGATGAGGACAGGTACACAAGCAGTACAGCAGAGATCTGAGTGAGGCAGGTGTCTTGGATGAAGGTCAAGATTCTGGCTGTGATGTAACACAGGGGGTCTCCCAAGACGCTCCACTGGGTAAACTGGAAAAGAGTACACAAGCTCTCTTCAGATTACCACTGCAATGGAATTCAGTTATCTCAAAATAAAAAGTTTAATTTAAAAAGGAAGGAGGGATATATTTTTAAAAAAAGGTTGTTTTTTTTTGTTTTTTTTTTTTTTTTTTTAAGAAAATCAGCATCACCCTGCCAAATTCATACAAATTGGCACACAGAAGACTCAAGATA